TTGTCCCTTTATGCAGTACATTCTCAAGGAGTTTTCATTGTGTACTCTTGTTAACACAGGAAAATTCTCCTGTGACTTAATGCATGACTTAAGTTTATCCATATGTTCTCAGAGGGCCTAAAAAACTTAGTTCAGGATCTTCTTTTCTTTACCACAAAGCATAAGTATCAGCACAAACTCTCACACACATTCACATGTACACCGTACAGTCACACACACAGTTCACACATGATTTTGTCTATAAATTTGACCTACCTTAGAAGATATATCACTGTAACACTACTTGCCATGACAGTCAACAAATTGGAACAACGGAATAATTCATTAGAAATAGCACATAGTCAACATTGGTGGTTACTGACTTATTTTAAATAAATTTAACTTGCAATGAAAATGTTTTCTTATACAAAGCCCAAACAGAATTTTGCACTGCTCAATTTTGACACATTTTTATTTTGTTTGCTATTTTGTTTCTTGTAAATGAAAACAAAGATATTTGTATATTTGATGCAGGTGTGCTTTTTCATGCTGATCTATAAAAATGAGTTTTATAAACTTGCTAAAAAACAACAACAAAAACAAACCACTATCAAATGTGGTAAACAGAGAAAGTATGAAACCCCAAAGAAACTACAAAACACTTTTCTAGAACTAATAAATGAGGTAGGCAAGTCATTGGAGCAGGGCTGAAACCAGCTATCACTGAATTCCATTCTTATGTCAAAGATGCTTGGGTCATGCCTGGAGATCTCACCGGGGTCTCCCCAGGGACCACTCTGAGAGGAAGCTGGGCCCTGCGGCATGTCCCAGGCTTCTGCTGGGCTGTGAGCTATCCCGATTCACACTAGTAAAGCAAGTAGAGAGTTGGGTCAGAAAATAGTACATTAATAGTGAAATGCCTTGTGAAATCTTCAAACTTCATGAGATTTTGCATTCAATTAAAATATATCTATATCTCATAATAATTTCATTGCTTAGTTTTTGTCCTCCCACATTTTCAAGCAAATAATATAAGTTAGGAAGATGCCTAATGAGGCTGTTCAATCTCTCTTTTCTTGCCATCTCCCCTGCAGGAAACATATCATTGAGCTTGAGAAGAGTTGAGGAGTTAGGACAGAGTGTGTGTTGGTTGGCTAATGACTGGACTGGTTACGTTAAACAAGTTTTGATTTCCTTAGACCTCGAATGGGCACGATACTAGCTCTTGTCATGATCAATGTGGAGAGATTAACTGAAGAAGCGATTTTAAAACATCCAGTCAATGATTTGACACGAGGCTTTTCTCTTTGAGTGGAATTAATCAAACAGTATGCATCCATCTGTAACTTTTAATATTATACAGCCCACATGTCACAGTCTTGTACTCCAAAGTAGAAACAACATCTAGAGCATTCCCTGGATCTGCCAGTGTTAGAAACAAAATGACAATGATCCTTGATTCAACCAATGATACAGTCTCTGATGTTCCTGACTCTGGACATTGAGATATTTGTATGTTGCCAAACATTACTGTGCCAAGTTATGAGTTAAAATGAGGTAATTAAAAAAGCAGATTGAGCTATAAGTTTATGATTTTGAGTCATGAAATGTTAATTGAAAATATATCGAACACTGAGTACTAAGGTTTGAATGCTGGGAATTGTGTGACAATTAGTTAATAGGTGACAAAGTTGGAAACTCAGATAAAATACTTGCAGAGATTTATTTAGGGTGGTTTTCAACCACTGTGTTGAGATTAGTGGGAAAATATCAAGGAGGTATAGTTGATCTGTAACCCACAACCACAACCATTCCTATTTTTAAGAGTTAAAAATGCCTGGAAATGCTATGGTAAATATTGCACATGTGATTGTCAACTTTCAAGTGATTCACATCAGGGAAAATTAGTCAAGAAGTGAGAACTATGATCTTTTCCTTCTATCTATTACTTTTATCTAAGAAAACAGAAAAGCATATCTTCTAGATTAAAACATTTTTCATTATTGAAAGCATTTGTTAAAATTTCTCAAAATGTCTCTCACTTCATTCGGCTTAGTTATTAGTGTGATTAAGAGCTTCGTTGCACAGAACACTTTGACTAAGAGCTCCCACATATGCAAAATATTTCCTGCCCAAGAAATACTCATATCTTGCATATACATTGCATGCTGAGTACAGAACGCATGCCACGCACAATATCTTATTTCATCCTCATAGAAGCATCATGAACTAAACATGAAGAATTTTTAAATTTTATTTTTCATCTATTTTCTCCATTTTATAAATAATAAAAGGTTTGAAATGTCATCAGAAAGGGGCAAACGGGACTCAACTCTGAGTCTTCAGATTCTTAGTTGTAATATTTTAATAGGCATATTCTTCAAGTATTTTTCTGTCCCTCTGTGTGGTTTTGCTATTAAATGATGTCAAAGGGAAATGAGTACTTTTAATTTCCAAAAAAAACTTTTAATTTTCGTACTAACCTCATTTTAAGCTAGTTTTGCCGATAACGAAAAATGACATTTCCAGTGAAATCATCCCAGACACTGTTGAAGAGTGGGAGGAATTTGAAAGTTTTGTAGAAGACGCCGAGTTCTGTATTTCTGACAATTTTCATGCCAACAGATGTTCTGGCTGCAGAGGAGAAGGAGCAATTTCAAAGCATCATTCCTGCCATCAGGCAAACTGCCCTCTAAAAGCCTCTATTTTGATTGACTTCCTCCTGGACTATTACATAATTAACAGCCCTGTCTACAACTACCAAGATTAATTCCACATTGCTGCTTCCAACCAGAATTTAACGGAAGTAAAAGCTGTAACGAGAATAAGGAGAATTGAGAGTGGCTATAATTTCTTACTATTAAGACCTTCGTTAGGAAAACTGAAGCCACGGAACAGTGGCTCCTCTACGCCCCTGAGATGCCACCCCCGATGGACCCCTGATTCCTCACCTTTCTCAGTGGGAAACTCACCCGCCACTGTAGTCCTGATTCAAACCCCTCTCCCTTCCTCAGCCACTTCCTTCTCTTCACCACACCTCCCCCGACAACTCCCTTTCTCTTAGTTTTTTATCCCATCTTTATGTGTTTCTGTCTCAGCATATGAATATTTTGATCTCTCCCACTCCACACCCCAGAGACTGGACTGTTTCATCTCTATCCTTCACATGATTGATAAAAAGAAGTCCGCACAGACCCCACTTCCACACCACAGCCTGCAGTCCGTGTCCTCCCCACACCACCAACGGCTTCCTTTGACTACGGTTTATTCTCTGCCCATGTCAGTCAATCTTCAAAATATGTGCTCCCTTTGTTGTGATGACTGATTACGTTTAATTTCTCTACTTCCTCCCTAAACACTCAAGTCTTTCTTCACCCCTAAAATCTTAGCATCGCCAGTTCATTCACTCCATGTTTTTTTTTTTGCATGGTGATGATTTCCAGATTTTATTCTCGAATCTTTTCTGAGTTTCAGGTCCCTAAGGCCAATCATTTCTTTGAACTCCACTTGAACTTTAATAAGAAGTTCAAAGTCAACAGGACTAACATAAAATATAAGGCTTTCTCTGTCGAGAAATTTCCTCTTCCTCTTGAGAACACTCTTTGGTTGAACGAGTCCACAGTCCATTCTTTTCCCCAGATAGAGACTTGAAAGGCACCATTGACACATCTCCTTTCTCCCCCCCTGTATCCAATCTGCCCCCTCATCCTGCAAATTCAGCCTCCTGGATGCCTCTCTACATCTTCTTTTCTTCACCACTGGTGGCCTCTCAGTTTGCCTTATCTCTTTCCAGGTAATCTTTCACGGGGATACCAGAATGTTCTATCTGAAACGACAATCTGCTCTTGTCATTTTGTTTCACGACCGTTAGCACTACCCATTACCTCCAAGACATAGTTCAAACTCTTCTGCAAGGCATACGAAACTCTGGCTGCGTCCCCAACCTCATCCATCTCTGCTCCTGTCACCACCAGTGGTCGGCAAACTGCGGCTCACGAGCCACATGCGGCTCTTTGGTCCCTTGAGTGGGGCTCTTCCACAAAATACTGACTTCTGCGCATGGGCCACGAAGTTTCAATCGCACTGTACATGTGCGCCCACACGTGGTATTTTGTGGAAGAGCCACACTCAAGGGGCCAAAGAGCCGCATGTGGCTCGCGAGCCAAAGTTTGCTGACCACTGCCATAGACTCCAATTTTGCTGATCTTCCGACGCTTCCCATATACATCAGGCACACTCAATCCTGTGTTCCTTTGTGTGTGTTGCTAATTTTTAATGAATGTCCTTAAACATTTGTTTGGCAGATTCTTATTGAAGTGTCAGTTCTTGAAACCAAAGCTTCTTTCTCTCCTACAACCATTCCTCATCATGTTCTTCAAGGTTTGGTCCCCTCCTGGGCCACTTGCTAACCCCTCCCATTCATGTCTATTGTTCTAGTTCCATATTGTGTTGTAGCTACCTCTTCTCTTGCCTTTGCCCTGGATACATATTTTTGTTTTGGCTGTTGAGCTTCCAGGGGTGAGCTCTTTATCTTTATATCCTCAGCTGACTAGCATTGCATATTTGGCAGGTGATGCTTATGTGTTTGTTGAATGAAAGGAATAAATCAATGACATAACCAACCACTTAGTAATTAAAAGATACCGACAAGAAGAAATAATAAGTTACTTTAAATTAACGCTCTTTAATAAACATATTAATGACACCGCGTATGATAGGACCCACTAAATTTCTGTGTGAAATACATAAAGCACCGTGACCTTCTCTTTTCAGAAGGAAGGGTGCAGCTAAGGTGAGAACCGAGTAAAACTGTAAATATGTTCTGGTACAACAAGAACCGTTTTTGTTTCCTGCCGGAAACATCATGTGCTATTATGTATCCAAGCCTTATAAACACATGGGTGCGCAATGTCCAGGCGATTTGCATTATCCTGGAGGCCAACTATGGCCGCAGTGACTTGTCACCACTGCAGCTTGACCAGGAGCCAAGCTATAATGCTGTGTGCTCTTTATCTTCACAGGTATTTGAACCAGACCCTGAGAGACGACCTATCAACAGCAGAGCATTCCCTGAACAGGGAGAGGTTTGCTGTTTTGAAACAAGCCTTGAATGTAGTTGGCTTCAGTAACTTGGTGAGTTATAAATATTTCACTGAGAAAACAACCTTGCACTAATTTATTAAAGTTAATCTTTCAAAAACTTTTACCGAGTCCCTATCACATTCCGGATGTGGTTGCACACACGGGTGAGTCAGCAGAGAACGAACCCCAATCTGATCTCTGCCCCTGGAGTTTACATTCTAGTGGGGAGTCAGACATACCCAAGGTGGTCAGGTCACAGGTACTGTGAAGACCAACAGGGAGTGACAAGAGGAGGGGCTGCTACCTCCCAGAGGGTGGCCAAGGAGCCCTTCTCCCAAATGAACCCTGTGAGCCACTCAGATGAAAAGAACTTTACATTGACAAGCATAAGGGAAAATTGGAAGAGCTGAAGGAACTGTTTATTGGTGAGAATCACTGTATTACAATATCTTCCTGAATAATATAAAGCTTTTTCACCCCTTTTAATTGAATTTATTGTGGTGAGGCTGGTTAACAAAATCATACATGTTAGGTGCACATCGTCTGTACACTGTATCGAGTGTTCACCACCCCAAGTCAAATTTTCATTTATCACTATTTATGCCCCCTAAACCCTTCTCCACCTCCCCCTACCCCATCCCTTGAGCAGTCAACACAGTGTAGTCCTTTTTTTTATTTTTAAAGAATTACCAAATACATGCAAGCATTATGAAACTGAGAAATATAATTTAACATGTATAAATTTCTAGGATAATATAAATGTCCTGGATCTGTGTTGTACAGTATGGTAGCCATGGTCACCTGTGGGCACTGGACATTTGGAATGTGGCTAATGAGAGTGAGGGAATGGATTTTTAATTTTTCATTGTTTTAATTAATTTAAATTGAAATGGTATTGTGTGGTGAATGGTTACTGAGTTGTATGGCACAGGTCTAGTGAATAAGAAATATGAAGTGATCTAAGCCTTGTGACTTCTCAGAATTCCCCCAAATCTCTTTCCCTTACACCTTATCTGATTCCCCTTATTGAATATGGTGTTTCTTGAATTATGGCCAGTTCCTCATTAACAATTGATATGAGATTGCATGGGTAACTTGGGTATGCCAGTAGCCCAGAAACCCAAATTTAGTTATAGTTTTTTAAAAGTTATTTTTCTTTTCCTTAAACCACTAACTTAATTGCTTTGGGTATTTGTATGTTTTTCTCTTGCCCACATAGATAAGGCTAATGGGGCAGTGAATGGGTAGGAAGGGGTGGGAAGGTGCCGAAAAGGGAGGGGAGGGGAAGGTGCCGAAAAGGGATGGGGACTCACCCTAAATGAATTAGCTCTGGGCTCTTTGCTTCACTCCACCCTTACCCCATTAGTGATTGAAATTCTGGGAAGGGCAATCATATGGCTTTTTTTTGTTTGTTCTCTGATTATCCAATCTATGTGTTTGTCTTTTACTAACTCCTACCCCTTTGCACTTTCCTGTCTTTCCACTTGCTGCTGTTGAATTTTTTGTTATTTCCCCCTTTCTCCATGCCTGAAATGTCTGCTGTCTTATAGGAAACTGGGATGTAGAGATGGGTGAGGGACCATTCTGCCAGAGTACCAGGTCCTTAGAAACAGGGCTTTAAAAATCCATGATTGATCCTTAAAGGCAGGACAAGCAAAATATACCTCCCACCTAAGATAGCGAATAGAGAATCCAACAACCTTCTTGGTAAAAGAGATATGGGCATTTTAACAAAAGACAATCCCTTCATCTTGACCCTTTGGGGAGACTGGGATGATGACAATGGAGTCTACTTCATAGGGATTCATCATGTCCAATGCGATTGGAAGAAAGGTATTTCTAGGCGGGCGAGGGCCTTGAATCAAGGCCTTGTAAGTTATTGTGGTCTTGGGAGTTCTGTTCAGGAAGGCACCTCCACCTCTTCCCTCCATCACCACCAGCCTAGCCCGCCAGCAAGGAGGCGTGTGAGTGTTGCTCAAGGTGCCCCCTACTCTCACAGCAATTTATTTGTGTCCCTGTCATAGATTTTACTGCACTTTAATTCATGTAAAGGCTAGCTTTCAGGCCTCTGCTCTCCACCACTAAACTGTAAGATCCTTGCAGGCAGAACAAAGCCTTCCTGTGGGTGTGTCCAGAAGTGCCTATCTCATGGCGGCAGGGGTGGAGGTGGTGGGGGGAGGGGGGGCTAGAACATTTAACGAGTTACTGGGTTTATTAAAAGGTCAAGGGAGCCCAGCCAGTATGGCTCAATGGTTGAACAACAATCCATGAACCAAGAGGTCATGAGTCCGATTCCCGGTCAGGGCACATGCCTATGTTGCAGGCTCAGTCTCCAATAAGGGGCGTGCAGGAGGCAGCTGATCGATGTTTCTGTCTATTCCTCTCCCTTCCTCTCTCTCTAAAATCAATAAAAAAACTCATTAAAAGAAAGGTGTGGGGGGGTGGTTGTCAGGTAGTGTAAGAGGTAAAGTGTTATCTAAACAAGCATAAATGAATTAAATTTGAAACCCTCATTTATGATTTGGGAGTTACCAAAAAGCACTTTTAAGTCGTGCCGAAATCATAGAGGGCTAACCTGAAAATGACTCGGCCATCGTTGTTGTCAATGCCCTCATTTTAAAGATGATCAAACGATGTCTTATGATGAAAGTAGAGGTTCTGGAGAAATTCATGAAGTCCCATGGAGTATATTGTTTCAACTATATATTTATAAAGAAAATAAGAGTAGTTCCTAGTAAAACTTCCACAGGCAGGAGCTTTTTATTTCCAAATTGCAGGTTAGGAAAATAAGTAAAACTTTAAAAGGTTATGACACTTGCCCTTTATGGAACTTGACCAATGTTACTATTGATACCATCACACTAAGTACATATTATTCCAGAAAAGCATGTTCTAGCTTACAGCATTTTACTGACTTTTCATGCTTACCACCAAATGACTGTCCAAGACCAAATTTAAGGTATTTTTTTATGCAGCGTTCCAGATTCTCAGATATTTTCTCTCAGCAAACATCCTTTTACTTCCTTCTACCTTCTGCTCAGAGATAGCTCTTGCCAAATTCATTTTTTTCTGAGTTTTCCTTAAAATACCTTTAAAAAGCAATTAGCATTTTATTTGTCTAGGCAGTTGTTTTCATCATGCCACCCTTAATTTTCTAGGAGAAGTAAAAAAAATTCTTTAATCACAATAACAGTTTATCTCATGAGAGAGAGAACTAGAAGGCGGACACCATGGCCCACATTCCCTAGCGAAGCAGCCACAGCGGCCGGGAGGTCTGATTGGCCTCCGTGCATAGTTCCAGGCCAGCCCTGGGAGGACGTGTGAACCTGACCTTCCCAGAGACGTCCAGCCAGTCAGACCACCACGACACAATGATTCAGTTTTCATTCTGATACTTTTGTGGAAACGTAATGCACGTCAGAACATCACCTCCTCACTCTCTTTTGTTTAAGGAACAGAAACATTGGTTTACAGGAAATGTGCATTGAACTATGAGATTTTAATTTTGAATTAGAGATTCGAACATTCGAGATCTGAGAAATCACAAGCCTACTAATATCAAAAACATTTTTTTAAAAAATTTATTTTTAACTTTAAGACAGTCAGACATAATTTAGGTATTTTTGTGGAGAAGTATTCATTATCATTAGATCTTTATTTTTCTCTGTAAGTCCTAGTGAAAATACTGAAATGCATTATGCAATAATTTCATTGCTTTTCTATAATAGAGCAGTTGACCACAGTAACATCATTTTTTAAACCTACTTTTAGGGTTTTAAAGGGCTTTACTCTTTACGTCTATTTTCTTTTAAGCAACCCTGTTCCTTTTCTCTATTTATAAAATGCACAGGAGGTGGAAAATCTGCTTGTGATTCTAGCAGCAATATTACACGTTGGAGACATTCGGTTCACGTCTCTAACTGAGGAGGACTCTGCATTTGTTTCCGACCTCCAGCTCCTAGAACAAGGTCAGTGGAACAGACATAATACGTGTGAAGTTTTGCAGACCTGCCAGTAGATGGAGACACAGTACAGAAAAGCCTGGTGGGATAAACACTAGAGCAGAATTTAGTGAGACTGGTAAGGGGAAAAACAACCCTGTAACTTTGTTCTTTTTTATAAATGGCTACGGGAATGAATAACAAGATGTACATTTATGTTCTCCTGCTGCCCACCATGTTAACAGGTTGATTCTTCCGCACATACTTGGGTTTATTTATATTCTAACTATTCTCCACCCCCACCCCCGCCACCCAGTATATTTTGGGGGCACGTTATTAGCTAAACATTTTAAACCTAATATAATTGCTTTTCTGCAAAGATCTTGCCAAACATCTCTCTCCTTTGAAGTTGCCTGTTAGTTACTCCCAGTTTTTTGGTGTTTTTTTTTTTTTTTTTTTTTTCCCTTTAAGATACCTTAAAACCACAAATTGTCAATGAACAGCATATCTTCACCTCATATCAAAGTCCTTTAATCGGGAATTGGGAGAAAACTGCCATATCTATTTGTGAGGGAAAGGAGAGAAAAAACCAGTTCTGACTTAATGCAGGAGCCCATTAACACTCATCAACACTTTGATTGCTTACAGGCTGTTTCTTTGGTTGAATTTGACAAGTTGGTTGTTTCATTTTCTTTAATACATACATTTTCTAGTGGGTCTGTGTAAAGCTTATAAATCATAACCATCAAGTACAATGTTCTCTTTCTAAACAAAATACTAACGTTAGTTTTCCTCACTGCTTTAATTGTAGTGGCTGGGATGTTACAAGTCTCAGCAGATGAACTGGTGTCTGCTCTAACAACTGATATTCAATATTTGAAAGGTACGTTTTTCCAATACTCTGGCTCTCACCTTGGTGCAACCCTGGTCTTCTTTGAAATACAAAAATAATTGCAAACTTACCTTTTCCCACTCAGTGAAACGATTTCTGTGAATTGAATGCCAAATGAGAAAAGCATTGAAAACCTGTTTGGTCACTTGATCTGACTATATATCTTAAACTCTCAGAGCTTTTGAGAGACCGTTTTGACTAATTGGTCACCCTTTCTCGCTGCTCAGTCATTTTAGACAAAGTCATCAACCCAAGAGCATTGATTTAATGAAAACATTGGGTCCCTGTGTGTATGTGGTGCCACACTGTTCTCTTCAATGAAGAGCATCCTTTTCCCTCCATGTCAACACTTTTAATAAATAGCTACCATTTATTGGGCACTTACAACAAGAATTCTAACAACCGCTATAAATGTGGGGATTTTTAAAAATTCTGACAGGTTTCTAAGAGGTGGGCATTTTCATTTCCATAACTAAGATTTCAAAGAGGTTAAAGAACTTTGTAATCATTAAGAAATGGCATTTTTGGAATTAGAATCTAATGTTACCCAATCCCCAGAATATGTCTCTATGCTGTAAGCATTTCTAGGCAAAGGGCCAGGGGAGTGGCTTTCCCCCATCCTCTTCAGTTATTCACTATAAATCATTGCTTTTCCAACCTTCCTCTGTATTGGAATTCTGGGAACTCACCATTCACCTGATCTTTTTACTCTAAAGCACCCTTCTTCTTACCTCTGTTCCTATTGGACCTACTTGCAGGTATTTAGGTATGTGACTTATAAATTTCTGCTTCACATCTAGAGTTCCCTTCCATGTTTCTGAACTCTGTGAATCTGCCTGTTATCCACTCAGTTGTCCAAAAGTCATTCTTTTTTAAAAAAAATATACTTTATTGATTCTTTACAGAGAGGAAGGGAGAGGGATAGAGAACCAGGAACATTGATGAGAGAGAAACACCAATCACCTGCCTCCTGCACACTCCCCACTGGGGATGTGCCCGCAACCAAGGTACATGCCCTTGACCGAAATCGAATCTGGGACTCTTCAGTCCGCAGGCCGACGCCCCATCTACCGAGCCAAACCGGTCAGGACCAAAAGTCATTCTTGATACCTCTTCCTCCTCCTTCTCCACTGAGTAAATCAGACACACTCCACCTCTACTCCATAAACAGCTGTCATTCTTACTGCCTTCCCTTCATTTCTATCACCATTTCCTTAATTTATCATTCCCTCCCCAGATTTTGGCAGGAACAGTCTCCTTCATCTTTTATCTTTTCCTCATCTCATGTTGCCTTCTTTTCACACTGCTTTCAGGTATAAGCTTTCTGCAAACATGATTTCATCCATGGGAACAGTCTTTGAAAGATTTCCCAACATCTTTGGAGTTAAGCTTGTCACTTTAGGACAGCACAAGAGGTCCTTTTTTACTTGGGCCTTACCCAACTTTTATGCTTCGTTTTTAGTCATTCTCCCACTGCTGTTCTTGCATCCATCCACACTAAGTTTCTTGAAGTTATCCAAATGCATTGTTGTTTTTTTTTTATCTCCTGACTTGTTGATGAAAAATTGAACCCTCCATTAATATCTATAATTTAATATATGCAGATTCCTCTGCTTACACTTGCCCTCATCTCCTTACACACGTGCCAGATGTGTGTCGCATTAGAGCCCGTAATCACGCTGACTCTAGAGACCCCAATTCTATAATATAGATAGAGCACTGCTTTCAATGCTATTGTGTGTTGTTCCATCCCCATGGCCTTGAACGTATAACTCCCTGACTCTCAATTATCTGCTGCTGTTTTGTTTGTTTGTTTGCTTATTTCAACCAGTCTCTGAAGCAGTTTTGCTCCCTTGTGTGCATGTCTGTGATTAACAGCTTAACCCTCATTTCACGTGGTCTTCATCCTGTCATTTATCTCCCTGCTCAGCCTGAGTTGCAATGGTTAGCCAGGTTGGCCAAGGCTATAAAGTTTAAATATGATGTTCCCATTTCCTCTTCACTCTCTAGCATAAATGCTGTCATAGGCTCAATTCCAAAACATCCTCACTTATTTTTTTCTTCTCTAGTCTGTTCTCTTCTAAAAAATCTTATTATTCAAGGTTTCAATTGCCATCTCTTTGAGAATGTCACAGAAATTTCTCCTTTAAGGCCCAACCGAGTTCCCACATTCCAGACCCACATTTTGGTTAGTTGGATCATTTCTTTGAAAATATTTAAAATATGACTAATTTTCCAGATGGCCAGGTTTCCAAATGCCTTGGGGATGATTCAGTATCCAAACCAGTGAGCTGTTAGCAGGAAACTTGTTAAGAGGGGCCCTTCAAAGAGTTGGTTCCCTAAGAGAACGGAAATTAACAGTCTGCAAAAGGTCAAAAGCTGTGGTCAACAATTGTAACAAATAAGATGCAATGTATATGACACATGTAAGGGAAACATTTTATGTAATAATTGACCAAGACCGCATTTATTAGAATCTTGGTATATTTTTCAACATCTTCTGGGGCTTGGGGGTGGGTGAGGGATGAATAGGATATGCACAGTTTTGCTTGCTTTTCAATGAGAGAAACCCTTGTTCTTAGGCCTCTTCTCCTCTCCACTATCCCAGGGGATATGATCACACGGCGGCATACTATAGAGATGGCGGAATTTTACCGGGATCTCCTGGCCAAGTCCTTGTACAGTCGTTTGTTTAGCTTTTTGGTGAATAGCATGAATTGTTGCCTCCAGAGTCAAGATGAGCCTAGCAGGTAAGACTGATGGATGCTGGTTGCTGGTGTCATAGATAACTTAAAAAGTCTCACCTCTTAAAGATGCTTTACAATCCAGTGTGACCCATAAATTAAACTATTCTTAAAACATTTTATTTTAACAAGTTGAAGGATTTTATTGACTATTTACAAAGATTTAATCCTCCCTCCTCCCACCCCACACACATTGATGAATTAATCAAATCATCTCTCATGTATGGAGATACACATACATGCTCTCTGGACTGAAGGCATATAGTGTCTTTGGAGCACCAATAAGTATAAAGGTGTTTAAATCTAGGAGGAAGACAGTTCAAGAATACCTAAAGCAGTTAAGTTTGTTGAGGAACCCATGTCTGTCTCGGAACCAATTTGATGGTGCATTTCAGATCAGCAATTCTTCCTGTTTTCTTCACATATTTTGTGGATTACTTGATGAAGGGTCTCTATGGTAATAATTTCACGCATAGCCTTAATCATCTTTAAGTAGAAGCTATTCAGGACTATTTGATTATCTAAAAATTATAGATCTCCATGGCATCTTGTCAATGGAAAACTTTGTTAATATTCTTGTCACTAATAATGACCTTGAGCAGATTATGGAAAGCAAAATTTCATCCAGAAGACTTTACACATTCTTATCCTATGTAATAAAGAGCTAATATGCTAATTAAACTGAACAGCAGAACAACCATCCGGACGACCTTCCAGATGAAGCTGGTGCTGCGAGGGCTGAGCCTCTTGCACGAGTTTCATGCATCGGGCCTCTATCTTTGAATAAAACCTTTTGAAAATTTCTTAGTTGTCTATATACACTCCTTTACCAAATTCCTGAAAATTGCTGCCTTTAGAGGTTTCTTGGAAAACATTATAACTAACATGTATTGCTGGGAAAGTTCCTAAATAAATATAGTCATCTCAGAAGATTTCAAGGACAAAGGGATGCTGAAATTCTCATTATAATGTATAATGATCATTCCCACTGTAATGATCAGCAGATTAAATATGCAGTCTGTGATTTAAGGGCAAATATAGTATTATTTATATTTTAGCAGACATGCCTTAGTGTTTGATATAGTGACGATTTTTTATTTTGTTATTGCTTATTGTCAGATAATTTTGATTTTCCTTTAAATATCAAGATTACTTACAGAATGATATTAATATGCTAAGTGTGCCAAATGAATCTTGCATAACATTATTGGCAGCTCTGCTGAAGTTGACCTTGAACAAATAATATATAAATCCAGCTGCACATAGAAACTTTTAGAAAATTTCCACTTGACATTTAAATCTTAGAGTCTTAAATTTATATAATTGGAAACACGTGTAGTCTAGATTTTTGCTTATATACACACAGAGAAAAAATATATAAACATAAACCTTGGAAAACACATTCTTTCCCTTTGAGTGGAAATATTATCATTGTATCAATATGTAAATTTATGATATTAGTTTTATTGTTTAAAATTATTTACTAAGCAAATGAGCAAGGACAGGAATTAGTGGGAAATTATAAATGAATTAATGTAGTATAAGTTTAACTTCTAAAATACAGTAAGTCTCATTTGAGTCATAACTCCCATTCTTTCTTCCCTATTTCTCCCATTGGTCACCCAAATTTAGATCCTGAAAAAATGCAAAGGAAGGTTATGTTTGCAGTATTTCTAATTCATTGAAATTCATGGAAAGTTTAAATTTTTGCAGATTTACAGACCCATTTCCAAAGTCATAGAAAGGTCTCGAAATGTGGATAAACTTGGAATAGGTTTTTATAGTTTATGAATCTCCAATTTTGTGGAAATTTTATAATGTCAAAAAAGATTATATAACATAAATAAATATATATCCCTATGGTTAAAGTTGGCAAGCTCTGTTGATGTTGAAGGGAAGTATTTTTTTTCATTCTGTCTATTTTTGTAAGATTTGCAAGCAAAAATAAATAGAAATAAAATATAAAGGGAATAAAGTAATAAAGGGAAAACAAGTGGAATTACAGCAGATGAAATGTATGATCTTGGAATGCTGGATTCATTTCCTGGATTACAGCAAAATAGGTACAATATTAACAATATTATATATGTTAAAAAACTCTACTTTCTCTAACTAGATTTCAAATGAGGTTGCTTCTAAATGAAAATCATGGGGTATAATGCGGACGCTGACAACTAGTTAATTAGGACGAGCAGAAGTGTTTGCCATGTTTGCCTGGCCAAAGTTGAGTCAGCGAGGTTAATGTGAGGACATACACCAGCCCGTTGCTGCCTGGGTCCTGAGTTCAGTGCAGGCTGCCTGCACCAAATGCTGCAGCTGGAGACCAACCAGCTGGCAGCTTTTATTTTATTTATTTATTTTTAAAATATAGTTTTATTGATTTCAGAGAGGAAGGGAGAGGGAGAGAGAGAGAAAAACATCAATGATGAGAGAGAATCATTGATTGGCTGCCTCCTGTACGCCCCCAACTAGGGATCAAGCCCGCAACCCAGGCATCTGCCCTTGACCGGAATCGAACCTGGGACCCTTCAGTCCGCAGTCTGACACTCTATCCACTGAGCCAAACCAGCTAGGGCTGGCTGGCAGCTTTTATTCCAGGTCCACACCTAGTGGTCAGGGCATTTCAAAACAGAAGCACACTGACACTTGGTTTAACTTACTTGAGACTTATTATCTAAGCAGGTAAAAGGGAATAATGCTAACAACAACAATAAAATACCTTCTATTTGTTTAAAACTACTTAATAATTAAAAGGTGATTTTAAATATCAAATAATTTCTAGAGAAAACGAATGAGTGGTTCACTTTGATCTGACTTTTCTAGTTATTTGGCCTCCACTCCTCTGTGAATGGTCAGTGACACACATTGACACACAGTGTAGGTATAAACAGTCACATGTTCAAACCACATGGAGATCCACATAGATTCCTACTTCCTCATATGTGGAAAATTGGCAACCACTAAGGACACCGGAGGCACTGACCTTCTCTCCCATTCTTCACTGGTCAGATTTTCCTCCATAAATAAAAGGATGTGTGGGTTGTCTCGTCCCTGCCCAGGGATGTGGCCCTTCTCCCCGAGGAGAGGCCTTCCCTCCCATGCTTCCCGCATTGCAGTCAGACCAATGCTGTGGTCCCCTTATCCTCAGGAATCTTGAATTTGACAGCCAGGGTCTCTTTTCCTCATTAGGTTAGCTTATTGATCAGGAAATAGTATCCTGCGGCTTTAAGATTCCCCTGCTTCTCAGGTGACCTCATCTCTGGTCTGTCCTGCGACACAAGCAGATATAATGTAAAAACTGCAGGATTGTCAACTCCCTTATTTCTGTCAAAGCATCTTTCTAAGTAGGTTCCTTTCAGGGTCTAACCTCAGTGTCTTAGAATAGTAGCACTTTAAATATGAAGTGCCCCGCTGGTGTTGCTCAGTGGCTGAGGGTCGATCTATGAACCAGGAGGTCATGGTTTAATTCCCAGTCAGGGAACATGCCCAAGTTGGGTTGCGAGCTCCATCTCCAGTGTGGGACATGCAAAAGGCAGCCCATCACTGATTCTCTATCATCATTGATATTTCTATCTCTTTCTCCGTCTCCCTGCCTCTCTGAAATCAATAAAAAATATATTTAAAAACTGAACTTTGTGGCACAGATAAGATTCTGAATAAATGTCCTTAATACACCTATTCTAACATGGTTTATTTTGCCTATTATGATAAAAGTTCTTTCTCATTTGGTAATTTTGGTTGCTTGTTTTTAATATAACATTTAAAATGGAAAGTCTTGCTCTTAAGCATTTGTTATTCTTAATAAAATCATAAACTTTTTGTAAAAGATAGGGAAACATGGACAGTATTGTGTTGGCCACAAGAAGAGTGTTTTATTGTGTCAACATTATAAACAGAATTGCTTGAAATTTTTTAAACATGTAGTTGCATTATTACTTATTTTGATATAACCACTTATTAAACAAGTGTGATTTTCACTGTAATGAAAACATGTTCTTCTTATGCCTTACCTTCTTTCAAAATAATCTCAACGAGGATAATATTTTTCCAACCCTGGGTGAAAACATGGGTAGGTCACAATACTTTTCTGTTCATTTTTAAATAAATCACAGTCCCACGAATCCTTTAAGTCCCCAAATATCCAGTATTTGAACAGAAATTAATAGCGTCCAAAGGTGAGGGTTCTCTTTCTCTCCCCGGTGAAGGCCTGTGGTGGCAGCTGACTGCCTCCAGGAAGGGAGTGAGGAAGGCTTCTGCACCTCAGCTTACAGGCTGTGCCTTAGGCTCTCCCAGGAAGTGGGGGGGCAGGAACAAGGGCATGAGGGGTGTCTTAGCTTCCAGATATTTGAGGCTTTCTGGTGAGAAAGATAGTTATCCCTAACCCCTTCTCTCGGCTTCTTCATAGATTCCTAGTGCTGGACTGCTCCTCCTAAAGTCCTCAAGAAATGAGAAGTGCATTCATTCCTACCCTACCTACTCCCACTGTCACCCATCCTTCAGGGCAGTCCACCAGGCTTGAGCGCACACCACGAAGGGGTTGCTTCTCCGCACCTTCCCAGGTGTGCATCTTGGGCAGGATTTCTCTGGATTGGCAGGGAATTGGGAATGAGACAGTGCCTTGAGGAGTTGTGGGTAGTTCCAAGGCTCACTTTTTATAATGGCTAAACCAAAGATGTGCACTGAACAGATTTTAGGTTTTATAAAGGATATCATCCCTGTGATTCTGAAATGAGATAGTTGGTTGGAGAGTCTTATTAAAGTGTAATGAATACCTTACATTTTGTTTAAAAACTGGTAAATAGTTTTTGTGAGTTCTAAAATTTGGACCAGTTTCATAATATAACACACATCCCTAATATTGAATTATCAAAGTTAAATTAAATTTTGTTTTTCCTGAATTAACATCTTCATCAGAGTTCTGGTACAAACTTCACTAGAGTCTTGGGCAGGCAGAGGGCCTTCTAGAAAGTTGGAGAGTTCTGTAAATGTCTTCAGACACTGAAAAC